CGATGTCGCGTCTTAAGGTAACCGATTGAACAATTCAAAAGTTATCTAGAGCAAACTTTTATAAGGATTGAACCATTCATTAAAACGATTGTTATGGGTAAACTATAAAAGGTAGACATATGCTCTCGCGGACTTTTTTAAAAATAATGTTAAGATAAACAATTCATCTATAGAACATTTTTGTATAACTTTAACTATATGCTCAGCGCACGCCACGGAAGGCCTCAGAAACGATACTTTTCCCCCGTTTTTGAAACATTTTTGGTTACTGCTCCACAACTATAGGACCTAGCGTGATATTATATAGCCTATGTTACTTCTGAATAATGCAGCTTTCGAATGGTGAAAAAATTATTGCAATCGGTTCAGTAGTTTTTTAGTTTATTCATTACAAACATACAAAAATACAAATCTTTCCTCTTTATAATATTAGTATAGATTATTTATTTTTCATAAATACTATAGAAAACTCTAATAATGTGACAAATTTTCTTTGTTCATTTTGTTTTGTCAATTCCATATAAATTGGTTTTCTATTCTACAAGTAGACAAGCGCTAAATGGCATTTGGCTACAGCTACTGTTAATATTACGCAAATTGGTTGAATGTATATTTAAATTTAACCAACCTCTTTTGAACAGAATCTGTTCACACACAAAACTATTCGACAATTTCTTAATAAATCAATTCGTTAATTGTATTGTTTGTACAATGCTAGAAACAAAGGAAAACATTAAAATATATTTCCTTTATCTCCACGCATTAAATTAAGAGATATCTCCGAACAAATGTTTCGCTTTAAATTCCCCTGAAACGAAACGTGGCAACACTACGAAATGTATTTTTGGAATTGCAACACTGGTTTTAAAAAACGAACAGATGAAGATTTTATATTTTAATTGCTGACGTATTTTGGAAATTTTAATTAATAGAATATAAATAAAATACATTTTAAATACTACTACTGGTTTTATTTTGGTACTGCAATGTACTGATGGTTATAAAAACAAACATTGTTTTACACATCAATGACGCCTAGTTTCCCAAAGAGATAGACAGAGGCGAACAAATACAATTACATAACATAACATCACGCCTTTTATCCCCGAAGGGGTAGGCAGAGATGCACATTATGCCACTGTACAATGTAACACCCACTTTTTTACTATTTATGTTATGAGTCCCATGTAATAGGGGTTGAGCCTATTGCCATATACCGGGCACAATTCCAGACTACGTGCTACTACTGAGATTTTTTTTAAACCCCAGTAATAGTTTGCCCGACCCGAGAATCGAACCCGAGACCCCTTGCCCGGCAGTCGCACTTGCGACCACTCGGCTAATGAGGCATAAATACAATTATACACATTTATTGTTAATTTAATGACGTAAGGAACTATTTATGGCGATATTAAACCTATAAGGTGTCGCGGAGAACCTAACGGGATGCGGGGGCTCCGGCTCGACGTGCAGGAGAAGGAACGGGGTGGTTTTTAGTCAGTAAGAGTCTGACACTCCCTCCCGCCTCACCCAGGCGGGAGCAGTTATTCAATGATTTTCGAGTCCTGCTGCTGTTTCATTAATAATTCCTCAAACAACGCAGGTCTTATCATCAATGACTGTCACTGTCATATGAAATTGATTGGTAGGAAGGTACTACAAAAAAAAAACAAAAATTAATTAATGTTTACTTTTAATTAATTTTGTGATTAATATGTGTACAGATGGATTAATTTTGTAAAAATCCAAAGAGTTGGGCCATAAGATAGTGACAGCAGAGTTTTTATTACCATAAAAGGATTGGTGACTGTTGATGAAGCGAAAGAGGTATGTAGGAGGCGTAAGAAGTAATTGGCGTTCCATAGTCTCTACCTACTCCCATGGGAGACAGGCGTGAAGATATGTATGTATATATTTATATTACTCTTCTGATGAGTGTTGAAAAAGCTAACTAAGGACTACTCTTTGACAAAGATCAAGCAATGTCTCACTTACAAATCTGAACCTTTTTAACTATCTACTTACGATCTATCTCATATCAACGATTATTTAGTTATTAAGTAACTACTTAATACTTTTTTTTATAGCATAAGCCGGTAAACGAGAATACGGATCACCTGATAGTAATCAATCGGCGTCGCCCTTGGACACCTGGAACACCAAAGCCTTACAAGTGCGTTACCGGCCTTTTGGGAATTAGGAATTTGAGGATTTTGGAGTATTCGGAGATTTGGGAGACTAGGGAAGGGGGGTAATTGGGCCTCCGGTAACCTCACTCATACGACGAAACACAACGCAAGCGTTGTTTCACGTCGGTTTTCTGTGAAGCCGTGGTATCACTCCGTTCGAGCTGGGGAATGGCCCTCCCATACTTAAAAATTGTGTAATTACTTTGTTTGTAATGTATGTACATTTATACATACTTATAGTATTTAAAAAAAATTATGTATTTGTTTATATGGGCTTATGAAACCTGAAATAATAATGTGAATCTTAAAATACCTAATATGAAACCTAAAATTAAATGAATGGATATATAAAAAAATAAAATAAATAAAAATTATCTAGTTTCTAAAAACACCATTTATATCCATAAACGAACTCATATTTGTATATAAAACAGCTTTTATTTTACATGAATACAACGGAACAAACGTCAAGAATAACTAAAGAAGATAAATCAACCACGTATCGAATAAAGGAAAGTTATGAGTTATGAGTTTCGTATTATTTGTATAAAGATTCCCATATCAACAACATACTATAATAATATATTATATGTAACTTCATATTCCCATATGAAAAGATTTCTCTTGATTGTTGGAAATATGTTACCAAACGTCACGCCTTCCGTTCCCCAAAGGAGTTGACAGAGATGTTCTTGTTGGAATAGTTGTAATATGTATTTGCTTCATATATTGTACCTACCTTCTACGTTAAGTTTTTAATTGATGTATAAAAATAGTTATTCAACTATTTTAGACGCAAGCCATCTATAAATCTATACAAGTAAATAAAATTTGAGTGTCCGTTTTTCATATTGAAGTAACCGCTATTTACTACATGCATATAAATATAAACATAATACATATACCAAATAACATCTTTTAAAATTGTTGTCTGTCTGTTTGTACTGGCTAATCTCTGAAATGGCTGGACGGATTTGACGAGACTTTTACATCTAACGTATCAAGGAGTAAAATAGGCTACATTTATTTTGGAAAATTGAAACAAAAAATATGTCCTAAAACTCATATTCTACGCGGACGAAGTCGTGGGCAATAGGTTACTTACTTACTGTAACAAATAAAAAATCTAAGCTATAAAATTCTTCGGAGTCGCGGAGAACCTAACGGGTAACCGGGGCTCTGGCTCGACGTGCAGGAGAAGGAACGGGGTGGTTTTTAGTAAGTAAGAATCTGACACTCCCTCTCGCCTCACCCAGGCGGGAGAATTCATTCGATGATTTTCCCCATTAAAAAATATTCTATAAAAATTCGGCTAAGAAGTTTGAAAATCGTAAAGATGATTCATGGATCAAAACAACTGACAAAACGTTTATCCCAATAAGTTAATGATTATGATTATGTTCTTATGATATCATCAACAACAGCTTATAAATGGCCACTGCTGACCAAAGGCCTTTTCTCGCACGGAACAGTTTGAACATTAATCACCACGCCTGCTCAATGCGGGTTGGCGATTTCAAACTTATAATTAGAAATTATAAGGCCAGGTTTCCTCTCGATGTTTTCCTTAAGCGTATGTCAGTGGTGTTTAAATAATCTTAAAAAGTATGTTAGTACTTTCCAATTCGATTCATTTTAACAGCTCGAAAAGAGTCACATTGGTACTTGCCGTTTGTAGGTTACGAACACGTTCTTTTAATAATATATCTGATGTATTTATATAAGTCATAATCTTATTTCTGATAAGTTCTGAACCCTTAGGACATACTAGTTACATTATAACATTCTCTTTGGTACTTTGTCGTTAATATGCAATTCAGATTCATTACGCAAAAGAAACAAAACACAAAATAATTATTAGGAATCAACGATTACTAGTTATATAACTTTAATAAACTTGAACAGCGATTGCTTGCATTAAAACACGAATAATGACTTACATAACAATAATCAATTACGTTCGAGAATTTTAATAGCGACATTAATTAAGAAAACAATCCAATTAGGTATCACTCCATAAAAACTAATGAGGGAATTTGCCATTTCAGTACTATAAAACCACAGCGGCATCGAACAAAGAACATTTGTACTCAAACGAAACTGACGAACAGGAAAAATCAAATTGAATTCTGTCGGGACCCGTTAGCTTACATTTTTAATTGTTCCCGAAGGCTCTCCATCATTAACCAGCAGTAATAGACCAGTAAAAAGAACGATCCGTTTCGTTTTTAAAGTTCTCTCAGTGACCCAAGACAATACAACAAATAAAAATAAAACAAAGAAAATTTCCACGAAGTATTCAAGTGAAACAAAAATATTGAACAACATTATCCAATGAACACGCTCCACACGAATTTGTAAGGAAATAAAAATGTATTGTTTGCCATAAATAAATCCAATTCTGAAGAGTGTTGCCAATTGTGTGAAGACTTAAATGTAAAGCGTGCCCAATAACACCAATTCCATTGAAAGCTTTGGCATTCACAATTTTATTCGGTACTTAACGAAATATAAAAAAATACATTTCTACGTGCTCCACACCTGGCAATTTTGGTCATTTTTTACATTACGTCGACCTGTTTGCGGCTCTTATCGTACCATCTTGAACAATGGTCGATTGTTTTGCAGTTTTCAACTAGTATATAAAACATTAGACTTGAATTTTTGAAACAATACATTTCCTGGCGTAAGGAAAGGAAAATACCCGATTTCTTCTGTTTCAGCTTTCAGTAATTTTGTTGGACTTGTGTAATGATGTCCCAGTGTTACACGGCGTGACGTAACTGTGATATTTACTACAAAACTACTGCAATGGAAAGTAAGTGGATTTTATTTTATTGATACCAAAGATGCTCAGGTCGAGTCTCGATCTTTCGTAACAATAGAACGTTATGAGAGGTCTGAAACAGAGATATCTGCAGACCAACAAACGATTTAAACTTTAGATTAATTCCTTTGAAATAGAATAAGAAATTCTTTTAATGGCTGCAGAAATTTCATTTGTGTAACGTTCGCATCTAGCAGAACTTTCTCGAGAACTTCGTTTGAGTGAAATCATATTACATTGTCATTTGTATCCAGTGAACCGCTGACATTGTTGGAACTTTTCCACGTTCAGACTACAACAACGCTGTTCCCCAGTTTGTAATGCTAGCGTTGTTGTACGTAACTATTTGTTGAAATACTTTCAGAAATACTCATCTTCACGACTTTCCTATCGCTAGCTGTTGTAGTGAACAGCTTCAAAACAAAGTTTTTCTCACAAAGCTTGGAGTCGGAACCTCCGATCTCGATCCTGTACGCGCGTGACAAGAAAAGTGATAAAGTAACAGATGATTGTTTAACAGAAATGTACCCACGGAACTTGTATAAGTATCCTCTGCGTATTGATAGGAATGATATACCTTGTATAATACATTGTGTGCTCAAAAAATTCGGTATAATGACGAATGATGGTTACATAAACATAAAGAACTACTACAGGAGAGTGCAGGCGATACACAGGTACGATCCGAGGATATTGATCTCGGACGTCGGAGAGACCTGTGCTCAGAACATCAATGGAATGAATTTGGACCACGATGTGTGTAAGAAAGCGAAGGTGTTTAACGATTGCACACAACTATACGCAGTGTCCTACAGAGATCCCGATGAATGGAAATAGTCTGTAGAACTAGTGAACTATAGAAACATATTTTTACAATTTTTTATTTACAACCTTATTAATAAAACCTGTAACGTCTACCGCTGCTTTTATTACTGGGGTGTCCTTTCGAATCTGTTTTGCATTTTCATATAAAGTTGATGTAAATTAATGCATATTTCTTTCTCCACGTCTTGGGGAACCATTCTCATTGAAGGCCTTTGATTACAACATTCCTGAATAATTTAGACGTACTCTCTCTGCATATCAAAGCCTATGAAGGTTTCATTAGACCGTACACATCTGGCCAGATTTTTGTTTAGTATTTTTAAGAATTTAGTCTACAAAATGAGCTGAGTCTATTCATGTTTAATAACATTTGTTGGTCGTCGAAAAGTTAATATTTCTGATTTAAAAGAAGACATAGCTTCTTTAGGTACTATTTGATAAAGAAAATAGTGTTGAATATTTAGTTCACAAGGATGATCAGAGATGAAATTAGACTTTTAAAAATAGCACTATGTCGATTCATTAAATTAACACCTATCCTATCCATCTGCTCGTCTCTCATAAGAGTGCTATCATAGCGCTAAAAAAATATTAAAGAGGTTGTCATTTGCTGTCAACAAGCATGATAAGATCTCGTTCTCTATCAACATATCATATAATCAACCTACGCCTTTTATTTAAGTTTATATTAATTGTGTTAATTAATTGACTGCCTCGTTGGCCGAGTCTCTCGAGGTCTCGGGTTCGATTCCCGGGTCGGGCAAAGTATTACTGGGTTTTTAAAAATCTCAGTAGTAGCACGGAGTCTGAAATTGTGCCCGGTAAATGGCAATAGGCTCATCCCCTATTACATGTACCTCATAACATAAATAGTAAACAGTTGGTGTTACATTGTACAGTGGCATTAAGTGCCGTAATGTGCATCTACCTAACCCTTAATTTCCTATCAACAATCATAATATCTCATTCTGTAATTTTGGCAATATAATCAACCTAACTTTGGAACAGCCCTTATATATTTAGTATATCTAAATATACAAAGAACAACAAGTGAGAGGCAAACTTAAAGGAAAATATTTTACATCTTCAAGACAAACTTAGTTTATACAGTCCTTAAGTCTCATGAGAACTACCACTCCAACAGTGATTGACGGGAACTTAGAATGGGCGGCAAAACTTAATTCTAAGTGTCAAGGACGGTCAAGGACAAACAAACTATGAAGTTCGTATAAACTCGGCACAAAGCCAGAACTAGAGCCATTCAGAATCATTCATTTGAACCGTTTTATAGCCCTGGCTATGGTCACAAAGCCTGTGAAAGAAATACTAGAAAATTCAACCTTATTTCGTCGGGATAAAGATGCGGATGGATTCCTTTTTTCTTTATTGGAGAATATTATACAGTCCACAAGAATTAAGATGAAGTCATTAGGACGTAAAATTTACTTATTCCGTGTCGGAAGCATGCGAAGCGATCCGTAGTGATAATGCTAAAAATACTTTGTTTCTGTTATTACTTCATTATTATAACTTGAAATGCATTGTACACATAATAAGTTTTTGAGTACAATTTATTATACAAAATTAAGAAGGATCATCAACAGCCTATAAATGTCCACTGCTGAGCAAAGCCTCTTCTCACACGGAGAAGGTTTGAGCATTAATCACCACGCTTGCTTAATGCGGATTACAAACGTAAAAGTAGAAATTATAAGCCCAGGTTTCCTCACGATGTTTTCCTTCACCGTTTGTCAGTAGTGTCTAGATATTTTTTATCCCGATTAAAAGTTCCTAAAAGATAAAACAGGATATATAATACGCGGGTGAAGCTGCGGGTAAAAGCTAGTTATATTAAAGCTAGTTATTTGATGCGTAGGTGTACTCTGTATTATTGTAAAGGACGTTGAGAAAAGGCGATCATATTCTCTTGAAACAACGACTGTGGCACCTGGTTACTTTACACACAGATCATACACACATTGACACGAAGCACATCTGTCATCTTCTTAAGTTTGGTAACATGGTAACCCATTATAAAACCCGAGCGTACGGCGCGTCGCGTTCCGCGCGCGCCTCAAAGAGCCATCAGACCACCACAGATGGGGCTCAACAGGGCCGATGCCGATTCGGATTCGCGGAGAACCTAACGGGTAACCGGGGCTCCGGCTCGACGTGCAGGAGAAGGAACGGGGTGGTTTTTAGTCTTTTAGTCAGTAAGAGTCTGACACTCCCTCCCGCCTCACCCAGGCGGGAGCAGTCATTCGATGATTTCCCCCCTTAAAAAAACCATTATACAAGCACACATAAATAACCCACTGACACTTTGGTGCTTCAATCATTTCTAAGTGATATTATGCCTTTTCTTCTTCGTTCTTGATTACTGTAATGAAAAAAATCCATATCCCACTTTTTAAAAATCTTATAACTAAAAATGGCTGAAAAATAGTGATCAATAACTTACCAAACTCACTCTATAATCGATATAGGGCAACAATAGCAATAACTTTTCAGCCTAAAACAACGCCAGCGCCCCTGTCGGTGCAAAAACCCTCATCCATAACTTTCCTCGTACAATCATTTGCTACAAAAAAATAAATCCGAGTCTGTCACGAACATTAAGAACATGTCTTTGAAAATGTGAAATCTAGGCGTTTCGATTACGTACCCGTATTTTCCTTGAAATTTAGTTCAGACCCTATACAGGCCTCCTTGGAATTATTTCTTACATAGATATGCTCCTCGCTTGAAGTAATTCTGATGAAACTTTTTGCTGATAACTCAACTGACATCTGCCTGTGGGTTTACTCGTGTAACTTTTTCTTAGAAGTTTCATGTTAGTTGAGAACTAATATAGGGGACGAGACTTAGATTATTCGAGAGTTATTATACATAGTTTGGAAGGAATGGAGAAGGCGTATGTTTAGTCGTGAAGGTCATGCGGTAACATACCTAAAGACGACTAGCCTTTTTAGTTTTTTTTTCTTCTCTTATAATATCTTCTGATTCACTTCGTTGCGGGAACCAAGACTGTTATTCATGTCCCTGGGACGCGCCGGACTTCAGTGTTCCGGTGTTTTCATGGTTGTATCTACTGTAGATCCTGGCTTACAGAAGTTGCAGCTGTTTTGGAAGGATGAGGCGGGCTTGTCCCTAAAAAAAATACCTAATGACGACTGGCCTCATAAAAAGGTGATCAAAATTAAATGCCGCTACTAACAATGAAATTAGTAAGGCAAAGGATTTCTATTATCATAAGAAGAATGTACAATTGTACTGCTGAACTTTACCAAATTCAATGCAATTATAATATTTTACAAATGCATCATACCTAGACTCAGAACTACGATTCAAAACAGATCAGATTCCTTGTATAGCGGCAACTGCGCCGCGCGTGTACTTAAATAGTATTTTTATTTGTTTCAGAAATCCTAATTTTTACTTTTATAACACTCTCCGGCTTCGCTCACGCTCGCATATCAGTGATGTATGCCCACGACAAGTTAAGTGATTTAGTTGCACAGCAGTGTCTATCAGAAATGTACCCTAAGAACAAGCGCATTGAAATCCAGGAATCAGATGAACCCTGCATTATATTTTGCGTCCTCAAAAAATTTGGCATTATTAGTGCATCGGGTGTTATCAATCTGGATATTTATAGGTGAGATTTTTGTTTTAATAGTAAATAAAATATGTTTTTTTTTTTGTTGAAGGCTTTTTAGTTCATATCCCATATGAGGGCCTTTAATTATTTCTTTAAATACCGTGAAATCTATTTCGTTTTCGTCATAACAATAACAACAACTTGCCATAAGTACTTTCAATGCATAAAGTTATCCATATAAATAACTTTAATACACACAAAATGACGTCATTTTTTAGTTAAAAAAAATGGGAATACGCACATAAGAAACTAGACGTTTTGTAGGCTCTATTCGCATCGCACGTGCCACCCAAATACCTCTTCGAGAATTCCAAAGCGTGATGTTTTGATAATATACATTGGTGCTATGAGTTCGTATACGCTTTCGAAGTTTGCTTTTTGCAATGGTTCACCAGTAAAATTTTGTTTTAAATATTTATTTCTACGTGAATATACTGAGAAAGGCTCTACTAGTTTCGAACTACAGAGGGGTTCTTCCTCATGAGCAGCGTGCGCGGTCGCGGTGATGTCGCGCAGCTTACTCTGTAGTTCGAAACTAGTAGAGCCTTTCTCAGTATATTCACGTGAGTAACCCGCGAATTTTAGTTAATTTAGTATGTCTCACGATGGTTATTATAAAAATACAGTACGTAGTCCTTTTTAAGTCCTCGGCAATGCCTTATAAGTCAACGTGTTGCGGTTGTCCAGTCAATCAGTCAATGGGTGACGCTGATCATACTTACCATACTTATCACCAAGTGACTCTCTTGCTTGCTTTCCTCCTAACCCAAAACGTATGTCTTGTCTAGGGAATCGAAACATGATCCTAATGACCTCATCATCATGAGTAAAAATATGCTTTCATTGACGTACAAAATCTCGAAAAGCCAATGTTAATATTCAGACTAGATACAGAAGAAATCTCGAACATAATACCTCATTTCAACACTTCCATGTTATAAATCGGTCCCGTCTCCTAACTGTCAGATACCTGTCCACATAACACGCTGAGACGGAATCTAGATAAATGATAAAAGAAGTGTTCGGTCCAGAATTTCGCCGCTAAAACGGGATTTTGAGGATTTGTAGTCATTCTTTAGGGAAAAGGAGTAAAGGGTTTAAAGAGGTTTTGTAATAGACTGTGTGATTGATGAGTAGTCATAGTTTATACAGTATGTATGTACAAGGTAAATTTTTTTATTCAGGCATTTTTAAACAGCTTTAGTATAATTTTCTTATAGTGTGAATACTGCTTCTTATAGTGTGACTGCCTCGTTGGCCAAGTGGTTGCAAGTGCGACTGCCGGGCATGGGGTCTCAGGTTCGATTCCCGGGTCGGGCAAAGTATTACTGGGTTTTAAAAAAAATCTCAG